CACAACGAGAGAGATAATAGGTTCTTATAGGCCTATGATCAAATAGACCGCCAAATTCGGCTTTAAACAGCCGCGACCTTGAATCTCTTGAGTATCGGAATATACCCTAACCCACCCACACATCGTGAACAAAGAAGTTTTTCACGTTGGGTCCCAACAGTAAACGCCCATAACTCCCCCATTCGGGCCCCATCCCCCCCACACCAAAAGCGCAACATTAAGGGATGGTTCTTTTTTTTGCGGTAACAGCGGACCCACGGCCACGCTTTGGCTGCTCCCGTCGACCCATAAATGCACAAGAGAACGCTGCCGATCAAGCCGCTACTCTGCTTATCCAGCCACTCACGAGTTTCGAACAGAGAGAGAACGCAAATCATTTCGAAATGCTATTTTTCCATGCAATGGCGAGGAAAAAGCCATTCTCCAATCGCTTTGCACCATCTACAATCAACCACAACTTCACAACTGTTCTTAATTTAAATTTTGTCATTCAAGTTCACACTCTTTCCTTATTAACGTATTCCTTAAAGACAAGAATAACTCCACAATTTGTGCTTAGGTACCCACCCTCCACACCAAGCATGTACAATAATTACCCTACAGCAAGGGCCAGGTTAGTCTCCATGACGCAATTGTACGGTCCCACTTCATGTAAAATGATTCACTAACTCCCAGCAGACGGTGCCCAAAACTGTGAACCCCCTTCCGCCAAACATCATGGGCCATCATGAACATCGCCAAATATGAAGGCATGTGACTAAGGAACGACAACTGCACGTGATGTGTGAGTGCCCACCTTGTTTAAATTGTCCTTTCAGGGTCAAACTAGGAAAAAACCCTCAAGTGGACTCCCATTTTCTAAATTAACCCTAGTTTAACTAGATTAATCCTTACACCCGCCATGTTCTAAGCATGGTGTGCAAACCCGCAGATGGATGCGCGAGACTACTGTCAATGCTGATCAAATAACGCATCGAATCGAATGCTTGACATGCTTTCGCAGGTAAATGATGTGCATTGGCAAATGTAAAAGGTTTATGTGAATTCGCACTTCCGCCGCTCACGGCGGTTAGAATCCCAAACGTCGCCTAGTACTTCCGTTGAATCGGAAGACTCAAGTCGACGCTACCGTTCGATACGCCTCCCTTTTCTAGAGGGCTTTGGAAATTCGCGGGGATCTCTTTATGCATGACGTGTGTGTCATGCTTCCGTGCATTTTGTTTACGCGCTTTTTTGTCACAAAGACTGATTCCGATTTAGCGCACTTGGGTCGCAACAATGTTGAAAATTTTGCAGGCCTTTTTAGCCAAAAGAGGTTTTATTTGGGCCTTATTCTTGCCCAAAAGATTTGATTTTTAAGGCATTTGTGCCAAAAACGAATTGGCTTCTTTAAGTTTTTGCTTCTTTTTAAAGCCAAACCATATTGGTTTACGGCCTTTAATTTTGCCAAAACAGGTTAATTGTGGCGATTGTCGCCAAGATTGATTGATTAAGGCAATTGTCGCAAACATGAATTAATTTTAAGGCCTTTTAGCCAATAATTTTAATTTAAGCGTCTTTGTCCCGCTATGAAAACAGAAATCAATTCTCACTCTACTAGCGCAATTTGTCTTGCCTACAATTATAGGCAATTTGTTTGCCTAAAGTGATTAATTAAAGGCTTTTAGCCAAAATATTGCTTTAAGCGATTTGTCGCTATAAAAAAGAATCAATTGTCACTTATAGGCAATTTGTTTGCCTAAAGTGATTAATTAAATTGAAATATAGGCAATTAATTGCCATAAAAAGAAAAAGTGTTTAATCAGGGCCTTTAAGTCACAATTATTGATTAATTAGACTTAGGCCAAAAAACTGTTCGAAATAAGGCTCTTTCACCATAGTTATTGATTAACTAGGCTTTTAGCCAATATCGTCGAATTTAAGCTTTAACAGATTATTAATTAACCCGGCACTTCTAAGCTTCAGTTTCTATTTGTTTACAGACAATTTCTATTTGCCTGGTCCGGATGATCACTGAATGCAACTTTTCATGCTGTTCATAGATTTAGCGGAGCGAGCTAGAAGCACAGCATCCGCATGCACAATGCTACCAAATTAAATCGGGCAACGTTCCTCCGTTTGCGTACCCTCGACTCTTCAGTCGACGGCCACTTTCCTTAACTCCAGGTTAAGCTACGTTAACGGCGAACAATCTAAATTCAATTTAATTTTACCAATTCCGGCCACTCTAATAAACGCAACGAAAAACATGAAAGCTACAACTCAAAATATCACTAAAAATAAAGAATCCGCAAGAAAAGCCGATAAACAGATCCGCCAAGTCAGCGTAAAGCGGGAGAGACGAGCGTCTCGTCAACACCAGCACTGAGCTGCCAGTAAACATGGAGCCCGGGCCCTCTTTCGTATAGGCAAACAAAACCAACCGCACCCCGGGCGCGCCTGCCCGCCTCGAGAGGGCGGGCGTGCCGCGCCTAAGAGAGCGGGGCGTGCCCGCCATGCTGGGCGGGCATGCCCGCCATTCCGGGCGGGCGTGTCCGCCCAAGCTGGGCGGGCATGCCCGCCTGGCTTGGGCGGGTGGTGCCCCGCCCAGCTGGGCGGGCAATGCCCGCCTGGCTTGGGCGGGTATGCGCCGCCCATGCTGGGCGGAGCGTGTCCGCCCAAGCCTGGGCGGGTGTGCCCGCCGCATGCGAGGCGGCAATGCCCGCCTGGCTGGGCGGGCAGGCCCACCCGTGGGCGGCACGGTGGTGCCTTTTCTCCGTTATTAATTCCGGAGGCTTTTCGGGAATGTTTCCGGATCTCGAAAAAATATTCGCCGAGACCAGTTCGTGATCCTCCCTCGTATTTTTGGACATTTCCAAGTACCATATTGGCACACTTCGGTGAACTTTTTTTGGAATGACCTCCCGTCCGAGACCGGAACTGTTTGCAGTCTGGGAAACTGGGCTCTCTTTGAGCACTCAAAAAAAAATAGGTCATTCACAAACCACAAAGACGACACAGACCGAACATAGATAAACAGAAAAAAAAAACGGACGCAGTCCGATCAGCGGATAAGCAAACGCCGTTTAAGGCAAGCTGCCATCACAACACAAACTAAGCCGCCGGCCCGACAAGACCTTTCTAGTTTTTTCGTTCCGGAGTTTTTTCGTTCCGGAGGCTTCTCCGGCCGGACTGTTTGCAGTCCGGGAAAACTGGCCTTTTGAGCCTCAAAATTTGAGTATTCACAGGACCTAACGGGATTGAGATTGACCCAGATAAGATAAAATCCATTCAAGACATGGAACCGCCAAGAACAGAGCGCCAAGTGAGAAGCTTCTTGGGGAAGATCCAGTATATCAGCAGGTTCATTTCTAGATTATCCATTACTTGTGCTCCGATCTTCAAGTTACTTAGGAAGAACCAGCCAGTCAGATGGAACGAAGATTGTCAGAAGGCCTTTGACCATATAAAGGAGTACTTAATGAATCCACCGGTGTTAAGTTCTCCTAGACCAGGAGAACCTTTAATTCTATATTTGTCTGTAGAAGACGCGGGAGTCAGAGCTATGTTGGCACAGCCAGATGCTGCTGGAGTAGAAAAGGCCATCTATTATATCAGTAGGAAATTACTGCCTATTGAGGAAAAGTATAACTTGATAGAAAAGACATGTATGGCAGTGGTGTGGTCGATCAAGAAGTTGAGGCCTTATTTCGATTCTTTCAGGGTCACCTTTGTTTCCAAAATTGATCCTATGAAGTATCTTCAGAAAACACCTACTCTAGAAGGACGGCTGCCCAAATGGTTAATTCAGATGGCCAGCGTAGATGCAGAATTTGTTATAAAGAAGACGGTCAAAGGTCGGATTGTTACGAAATTCCTGGCTGAGAATCCCGTCACAGATGATGAATCATGGGAATTAGAATTTCCAAATGAACATTTGTTATGTGTTGAAAAGGGGGTCTGGAAACTATACTTTGATGGATCAGCCAATAGGAATGGAGCTGGAGCTTTTGATGGATCAGCCCAAACTAGGAATCGGAGCTGGAGCATGGTAATTGTGATAGAGCACCCCAATGGCGCAGGTCGACAACAATGTGCCAAAAGATTGTTGTTTCTCCAGTCACCAACAATATGGCAGCAATACGAGGCATGCATTATGGGAATGCGAGTCCTCTTTCTTGCAACGGGCCTAAAGGAGGTTGAGGTGATAGGAGACTGCATTTATGGGAATCGAGTCTCTTCTTGCAACGGGCGCTAAGGAGGTTGAGGTGATAGGAGACTCATTGTTGGTTATTGAACATGCCAATGAAAGATGGAAAGTTGAGGAGGATAGACTGAAGCCCTATGTTGAATACTTGTTGAAGAAAGCTGCACTCTTTGACAAGATCACCTTTACTCACATAGGAAGAACTCATAACAGAATCCCATATGCATTGGCAAACCTAGCGTCAGCATGGCAAGATCTGAGTAAGGTCCCAAAGAAGCCATTTATCATTACCGCAGCTAATATCCCATACTATGAAGAACATTTTGTGAATCAGGTTGAGTCAGAGGAAGAACCTTGGTTTATGGATATTTTGCGGTATATGAAAGATGGAACCTTTTCTGATGATGCAACAAAAGAAGACCGATCAGTTCTACGAAAAATGGCTGTGAATTATGTCCTAGCTGATGGTGAACTGTATAGGAGGGCTTGGGATGGAATGCTTCTAAGATGTGTAGGCAAGAAGGAAGGAGAAGAGCTAATGAAGAAGATCCACGAGGGAGTCTGTGGTACTCATTTGAGTGGCATGAGTTTGGCTAGAAAGATCATGAGGCAAGGCTACTTTTGGGTGCAGATGGAGGGAGACTGTGTCAACTATGTTCATCATTGTAAAGCCTGCCAGTAACACGATAACAAAAATCACTTGCCTGCTGTTGAGCTCCACCCAACAACTCCTTCTTGGCCTTTTTCTGCTTGGGGTATAGACATCATTGGCAAGATCACGCCGGCAGCATCGAATGGTCATCAATATATTTTGGTTGCCGTGGACTACTCTTTAGGTGGATCAAAGCTCAGTCCTACAAAACTTTGACTGCAAAACAAGTGGCTAGATTTATTGAGCAGAACATTTTTTGTCGCTATGGTGTTCCTCATCACATAATTACAGACAATGGTTCTCACTTCTAAGCAGACGTCGGCCATTTGTTATACAGATATAAGGTTGAGCATCACCATTCTTCTCCTTATCGGCCTCAAGCTAATGGGGCAGTGGAAGCCGCCAATAAGGAGATTAAGAAGCGCAATTAAGCGAGATTAAGAGAATTCTGTCAAATGTGTGAGCAAGTTTAGAGCTGGCTTAAGAAAACTTCCTTTCCGCCGCGCTCTGGGGGTCATCGAAACTAACTTTCAAAATCAAGTGGAATGGAGCTTCTCCTTTCGAGCCTTGTATATGGGACTGGAGGCAGTGTTAACCAGTACGAGCTTGAAAAAAGAAAGTCTCTCAGGGTTCTTCGTGGAACGCTGGTTTTGCAAACCGAAGAAGAGTGGGTTTCAAGAAAGGTCATGAAGATCTGGCCATCGTTCCAGACTTATGGCCAGAAGACTGAACTGCCAGATTCCCAGGATCAGATGAGAAAGAGAAGATTGCTTCGTTTTCTACAATAAGCAGGGTACATCCAAGGGTGTTTTTTTGAAAAAGATTGGCGGATTTGGTGTTGGTCAGCACCCTGTTAACCCACGAATCCCAGAGTCATCCTGGACGCCGCATAAATTCAGACCCAACTCGGCATGGACCCGTTCAATAATTCAGAGTCTTTGGCCAAGGTGCCGCTGAATTGTCACTACGGAAGGGAAGCACTTTATATCGGATCGTTATATCAAGACCAGATGAAAGGTTTTCTATGTCTGAAATGAATGATTTTCGATTAAAAAAAAAATTGGGGGCTAGGTTGAAACCCCGAAAGGGCGACCTAAGGAAAAACCCGAAAGGGCGACCTAGGCAAGAAATAAGCTCGCTAGGTCGAAAACCTGAAAGGGTGACCTAGGCAAAAGTTAGAGTATATATAAAAAAAATCTTTTGAGATTAAAGCATGGTGCTTAGTTTAAATGTGAAATCTATGCCATGCGTTTGTGACATACTTGCGATCGGTTGTTCAATGCCATCGACATGACTAGAAGTAGAATAGGTAAATGAGTAGTTAGAATGAACGACCATTGTATTAAAATAGTTTCTCTTTACTTCTGTATAATATTGAAAGAAGTAACATCAATAATGAGCTTGAGTTTCAAATTTTTCTTCCCTTTTGTTTCTGGGGTATGATTGATGATTTCAAGACCTTCCTCTCTGCTTATTTGATCAGAATTTGCTCATTTATTTTGAAGATGTCTTGGCTGTTGGTCCTGCCTGAGTATTGGATTCTTTTAGACAGCGTTAGACAGCGATCAGGAGAACAAATGCCATGTTCTTGGTGATTTCCTTGGAAGGATCGATAAAGAAAAAACCACGAATAAAATCCTTAGCACTTAATAGGTTCATGCATACATAAGGGAACTGCATATTTTATTTTTGTCTGAATATTGCAGGTGATAAAATGGTCACCCCATCTTTTTATTTTCAGATGTAAGTTTCTATCCTTAGTCAAAAGATCCACTTTTATGTGCTTTCATTTCTTAGTCCAAGGGCAGGAAGCCCAAATGCTAATCTAGCAAATAATTTCGAAAGAAAAGATTTGTTGTCTTTTGTTGTCTCTAAGTGCAAAAAGCAGGAATCAATAAAGACAAAACTACCAGAGTTATTCATTGAAAAAAGAGAGGGGATACATTGATTGGGAGCTCATGGCCCTCGGAATATAGGAAACTGAATGAAAGAAAAGTAGCAACAGCATTCATCCCAGTGGTTGAATCATCGGACGCCAACCCCTTCAAGACCCAGTTTCATCACTGGGAATAAAACCAATTAACGTACTCGGGTGTCACGGTGTCCTGCATCACCCCTTGACCCATGTACCAGGTGTTTCGGTTCCGCCAACTGTGAACACCCAAATTTTGAGGCTCCAAGAGCCAGTTTTTCCGGACTGCAAACAGTCCGGCCGGCCCGGAGGCCATTCGGAAAGTTCACCGGAAGTATGCGGCCCCGGAGGCCATTCGAAGTTTCACCCGGAAGTATGGCCAATATGGTACTTAAAACGTCCGAAAATTACAGGAATCGCAGAACTGGTCCGGAATATTTCTTTGGACGGTGGAACTCCCGGAAAGGCCTCCGGAAAAACATTAAGCTTAGCCACCAGTACCTGGCCGGCCCAGCCGCCGGCTCGCGAAACAAATCCGATTTTTCGCTATAAATAGTGGCCCCGGGGCTTTCCTGTTTATCCTCACTCAGTCTGTGTTGACGACGCTCTTCTCCCTTAACACTCCTTGTGATTCTTTACTCGCTTCTTTGCCATTTTAATTTAGTTTTATCGCTTTCTCTGCTTTGCTTTAGTGGGTCACTAAAATTAAATCTTATTAAAATTCCCTTAACGAGGAGCTTTTACCTGGAGTTAAGCAAGCGGTCGTCAACTAAATCAGGTACATGAACCTAAACTCCTGCCTATTTTAATTTTAGCACTTCATCATTTTCTCTTCTACTCCTCTCTCCTAATTCTACACACCTGCATAAACTGGCATTCATACGTCCATCATACTAGGCAAGTAAATTGCTCAATTAACATACAATCTCTAGGCTAAATGCCGGTTAATTAATAATCGTGGTATCTAAAGCTTAAATCCGAACAATATTGGCTTAAAAATATCTAGTCTATCATGGCTATGGTACTGACTTGCCTTTACTTTCCGACAATTTTTCCGGCCTCTAAGTCATTAATCACTAATTGCTGACCCTAAAAAGCGCCTTAATTAATCCGTTCTTTTGGCATTTAAATTTGTCTACAACAAATTGCCAGTTCATTTTATTACTTTAGGCAAACGACATTGCCTAAGTAAGAATCAACAATTTTTTGGCAACAATTTGCCTAAATCAACCCATTTTTTTGGTCTAAAATGTCTTAAAATATCAATTTTTGGCGACAATCGCCTAAAATAATCAACTTTTTGGCAATAATTGCCTAAAATTAATCTTTTTTGGCTTTAAAGTCTTTGAAATCAACATATTTTCGGAGCTAAAAAGCCTTTAAATTGATACATATATCTTTTGCAATTACAGATTGTCAATAATCCAAACTTTTTGGCTCGAAAGGCCCTTAATTCCATTTTTTTGGCAACCCTATGTACAGTACCAATGCAACCATTTCCTTTTTGGCGAAATTGACAAGATAATCCAAGCCCATCTTAACAAGATTTGATTTAGTGGGCAACCACTATATATATTTGTCCTCAAGTAAAGGAGCACTTATCTTTGAAATTTTTGGGTTGTGGGCAAATCATGCCTGCACTATACAATTTAAAAAATGTCGACATAAGAGTTGAAACATGCTACAATTCTCAATGCATAAAGCAATCCCAATTCAAAAGCCCTCTAAATAGAGGCCTATCAAGTACGTTGACTTTGATCCTTTCCAATTCAACGGAAGTACGAGGCACGTTTTGGGACTCTAACCCGAGCGGCAAGTCGAAATCAACATCAAACATTTTCATTGGTCCAATTATTTCATTCGTTACACCTGCACAGGCATTCAATTCATGGTTAGTTCATCACATGACATAGTCCCCTTCGGGATCCACCCTCGGGTTCGTAGATCATGCCTTAACCCATTTGGGTTAATTAATCTAGTAATTAGGTTAATTAAAATTGGGTCACTTAAGGGTTTTTTCCTAGTTTACCCTAAATAATTAAACCAAGTGGCAACTCATACATTCCCGTGCATTTCTTTGCCCATTTCTGCCCTTAGTCACATGCATTCATATGCCTATGATATTTTGGGGGAGGGGTTCACACCAACGATCAGCCAGGTTGGTCAACAGACTCTGCGTCATGGGACCACTTTCGAAGTTATGGACTCTGGGACCGCGCTGAACGACACCATACTGGCGGTTGATCCTGTCTGGGAAGTAGGCCATGCAACGATCAAGACTGGCATATAGCACATAGCTGAGGTTCATGCTCCCAGCAGTGTCCAGTCTAATCCTCCACCACGGACAAGTCCACCGAATCACGGGGTTATCTCCAAAATCAAACTGTCCTCGGGAGCGGGGGCGAAAATTGGCAGGGCCATAGGTTGGAATTGAACGAGCTGGAATTGAACGAGCTGGGACTTGGAGGAAATCAGGCTCAGCTTATCTTAAAGCCAGGCCTTGTAGTAACATCCGGGCAACAGCCCGATGGTGAGATGTTGAAATTGGTGACCTGAAGAGCAATGTCCTACCAGCACAATGGTCTCTCCCATGATCATCATAAAGATCGGTATGACGGTACACCTGCATGTCACAGACAACGGTCAGCAGTCGAAAATCTCCAAATTTCGGGTGGCGATTCTTCATGGCATACACATTCAGCAACAGGAACCACAAGCTCAACAAGAGGGGTTTGCGCATCCATAGGACAGAACCCCTATTCAAAAAGGCTCTAAGGGAAGGCCTTAATCCGGGTCTATTCCCGTCAAGAGGTAAACCGGCATAGAGCCGCGACCCTCAGCCGAATCATATCTGGGGCCTGGGGCCAAACCCTGCGTTTTCATTTTTTGATCAAGGGTGATGAACCTCACGGCGCACAATCACGGCGCACATTTCCTCGTAGGTTGGAGTTACTTCAGAATCTTCAAATCGGAAAACCATAGTATTGGGGTTAAAGTGCCTTACGAGCCAGGAACATGATCAGGCTTCAAGTCTTTGAAATATTTCAACCAAGCTAGTTGATTCATGGGGTGGATCTCCCACAAGTCATCAGGAACGGATTGAACAAACGATGAGACTTGATTTCTGAAGGCCATGAAGGAAAAGGGTTGTTGAAGAAAAGGGTTTGTTAGAACAGTCGAATGCGGTGGAATGAAGAGAACGAAGAGGAGGACCCCTATTTATAGAAGTGAAAAGGCTTCAATGAATGCGATGCTATCACCAGCTAGCATGGCATCTACTTTCGGTGGTGGTAGGTTTTGGAATAAAGTAGATGGGCATTTATGCCCGCATTAACAAGATGGACCACTTTGGTAGATGGGCATTTATGCGCGACAGGACGGACCACTACGGCAAATGGGCATTTACGCCCGCATTAATAAGATGGACCACCCTGGCAGGTGAGTGGGACGTCTCTTTTTTATTTATGCGGTTTTATTTAATTTTTATTTTATTCTCTTTTGTCCATTTTGGAATAAAGT